AAATTTCTGTTTTTTTTTTTATTGTATATGTGGCATGAATGAGCCCCACAGCTCGGATAAAATAAAAAAAGAAACATTTGAACTAATTAAAAAACAATACTACTCCTGTTCTCGGTAAATATTATATTGGAGCCAAAAGAGAAATCGTAATCCAAAGGATGAAGCCATCATGCCTTAGTCGAAATCATTTATCACATCTGTTTCTGCCTTTCTGATCTTTGGGATCTTTTAATTCCGAATCAAGCTCATTTTTCATTCAGTTTTATTACCATTTCTTAATATCTGAATGGTCATTATTCTGAACGAGAAACATTTTGATAAAATTATGTTTAATGGTATAGTGTACCCAACATTAAATATTGGTAGAGACAAGTGTTGTGTACATAAGAAAAACTATTAGAATCTGTTATGAGTATTTTTTACATCTTCCTTCAGAATCGGGTTTTATAAAAATCATTTATCTTTTCAATTTAAATTTCCATGAGTCAATAATCCAATATTAAATATAACTAATACAAATTATACAAAAGTGACAAATTACATATACTATAATAAATATTACAATGATGCAATTTTCATAGAATATTTATAATAGACTTCGATTAAATTTCTGATCTAACCTAAACTATGTTTTTCATAGTTGCTATGTTAATTTACTGAGTAAGATTTTGGCCCGGGGTGGAGTTTCAACTGAAATTCCCTACTGCATACAACCCCCTGAAGAAGACCTGTAAAGTTGGGTCGAAACATCGGCTTTAAATAAAATAGTTTGTTTCTATTTTTGTCTTTGTACGAACGTGCCGTTCACGTTGCCGTTCACGTCACTATTCACGTTGAATAGTGAATGTGCCGATATGGTGTTTGTCTTAGGTTTTTGCAGTGGTAATAGTAATGCTGCCCATTATGTTTTTGTTCCTTTACGAAATGAAGAAAGGAGTACGACCATATTACAATATTTTGATGATAATCTATCTGGCAGTGTACGAAGAGCTGGAGCAGAATTAAATATTACGCCAATTATAGTATGGAGAACTCTCAATGCAGATGGACTCCACCCATATCATTATCAACGGGTACAAAATATATTACCACAAGATTTTCGGCAAAGAAGAATTTTTTCAGATTGGTACTTGAATCGAGTTGAGCATTTAAGGTGTATGGTGGACTCTCGGGAGGACTCGAAGCCAAACTTGAACGTTTAATAAATTGCTCAATCCGCCTTATCTTCGGGATCTCAAGGGATACGCATATTACCCAGTTCTACACCAAGTTGAAGTGGCTCTATCCGTCCTACCGCCGTCAATATTTTCTGGCTAGGTTCCTATACCGAGCCATTACAACACGGCGACCTACCTATATTCTACAGATCCTACAATTCAAACGCTCCTTTCAATCCCGTCCCCCCAGATCCCGTGCGTCCGCCCTCTATCCTCCCCCTCACCGAACTGCTGCATCTGATAAATCCTTTTTAATACAAGTTGTCTTCCTCTGGAACTCGTATACCTTCAGATATTGGACACGCAAAATCGATATCCTCTTTCAAATCTCTCCTCTTCGAACACCTACTCCATTCCCAATCCGATTGATCACGAAATGCACTTAAAAACCTCAAAGTACACCCAGATACTCTGATTATTTTGTAATTCATCGATATTTCGTTCAATTAGTTAATTTCTTTGTATATTTTATATTTACACGTATTTATATCTTTTCGTCATTTATAACTTTATTGTACTCCGAATCAACCTGTAAATATTAAATAGTATTTCATGGACGCACCAAAATATTAATATATGTTCTGTATTTGTGACTTGTTCTAAACGGACACCAGTCCCAGAATAATAAAATCATTTTCATTTATAATCCACAATTTTCAGTCGACATTCTCTGAATAGATGAAGCTACTTTTACAAGAACAGATATCTTCAATGGTCGCATGAAAATTTCCATGCAATTCGTGAGCATCATTTTCAGCACCAGTTTCAGTGGTGGTTGAGGATAATATGTGGTTATATATGTGGTTGAGGATAATATGCAATATTTTAATAGGTCCGCAATTCTTGTCGCCTCGAATCAATGCGGACACGTTTCTGGGATTTCTTAATAATGATTATTATGATTTAGTTGAACTTATTCCACTACAACTGACGAGGGACATATGGCTTCAATTAGATAGCTGTTCAGCACAATATGGCAGAGGTTAAGCCACGACAATGTTAATTATCCCAATCAATTGATTGGCCGTGTAGGACCAGTGGCTTGGCCTGCACGCTCTCCCGACCTGACATCACTGCATTTTTTTGTTTTGGGGGGCATTAAACAAAAAGTCTATGCAAGTCCGGTCAATAGCCTTAAAACCTTACGATGAAGGATAATTGAATCTTGTGAAATATATATCCACATATCCAGTGCACATATCCACATATCCACATAGACACATATCCAGTGCCGTTCTGCCCCTGATGCTGTTGCAATATTTAATATGAATGTTAATGTTTACATTTAATTAATAAAGTAGTCCAGGCTTGCGGACATACCTTGATAGGATTTTTTTTCTTGTTTTGAGGTTCTTAATTCATATTTTCACTTTGGTTACTTAACCCTGAAACACCCTGTATACTTTCCACGGTTTATATTACATTAGTTACATATTTAACCTATACTTTCATCTATATTTTATTTTATGTATTTTTTTTTTTATTTCCCACATATACTTTCGTTAATGTTATCTATCAATTATTTTTACAATAGAGTTTGAATTGTTATTAGTGGCATATTATGAATCAACATGGACGTGGATTGCTGTCAAATTCAATAAATAAATAAAATAGTTGTTAAAACTCAACACATAAGACTCGATAAAGTGTGCATTTTCTACCAAATATAGTTGTTTTTTTAATTTTTAAAATTGACCGTATATTCCGTTAAATTAACCATACAGATCCTGGATTGAATGTTTCGGGCTTATATATTTTATTTTCGAAATTAATTTGAAGAATTCGGTCTCGGAAATAATAAAATATTCATTATCAGCAAATGTTATACATGCCGCCTTAACAGGTCTTTAAGTATATCTACATTAATACGAGAAAAAATGGTGTATCTATTTTGTATATTTTTAATTAACATATTATAAATAAGAAAATAATTGTATAACCATAAATTATAAAATATATTTATAAACTATAAAATTTAATGTAAAATATTGAAGCTTTACAAGTCATTTCCCCCGTTAGTAATAGGAAAATGATATGATCAAAGACATAATACTTTAATCAGAGACTCAAAGAAGTCTGCTGTTTCAAATACCATCAATAACTCACTTACAGGGTTTCTTCCTTCCATTTACGAATTCGTGTATTCATGTTGTAATGACATACAATTATTAGTACAACTCTAAGAGCTTTTTTACTAATTACTATAAAAAACTATCCACTAATATCTTGGTATCAGATGTCTTCACTGTAGTTGTAAATTTATTTATGTACCACACCAAATGTTTTGGAGTTACGAGTTTTTTTTATAGACTTCTAGCTTGCCCGCAAAGTAATAAAATGATTTATGACTTTAGGTTCCGTTGTGCCAGTAGAAAATTATCCCAAAATTCAGCTTGCTTGTTTTCAATTTCTTCTCTTAAAAAAAAAATTACTGGATCAAGTTAACGAGATTTAGCAGGAAAATTACTTTTCCAGCGCATATTTCATAGTTAGGCCCAGAGCTGCCTTGTAAATTTGTGCTCAATTTTATTGAGCATAAATGTATTGGAGGAGTTCATTCCACGAAGCCCTACAAGAACTTTCACTTTTAATAATTATATCATGAACTTAATTACTTAGCAGTAATTAGGATTCACCAAATTTATCATTCCTCGCTCTGAATATTATCATGGACAAAGGGTTGCTAAAAATAACTCTGAATTTTTCTCAGAACACTAAAACAAGTTTTAATAATAGACGAAGTGATACTACTGTATAAATATCACACCACCTTCGTGGATGGCACAAGATCTAAGGATCAAACCATCAATAAAATCCCGAGAATGGCCGAGTATGTTCGAAAGTAGACGGAGATGATTGTAATATTTGATAAGGTTGCGAATTGCTTAACTGAAAGCAACCCGTTGGAGGTTTGTTTAGAGCGAGCGCTAGCGATTGAGAATCGAAAGCTGCGATAAAATCAAAGCTAATTATCACCCCGATTTTAATTGAGGACCAGTAGATATTTCCCTGAAATCATAAATCGCGATATAAAAAAAAGGAAGTTCAACACATTAATGAACACATTAATCTTCGATCCATAATCCGATAATAATCTGATCCCAGCTGAACTACCGAGAAGAGATGCAGTTGCCTGCTTCCGCCTGGCCACTGGTAACGACTATCTCCAGAATTATCTCCACAAGATAAGCGCGAATGAAGATCCTAGTTGTGTCATCAAGCAACAATGGATGCAGACCATCTAGAGACATGTCCTGCCTTGACGGACATAATAGAAAATTATTTTCTATTTATTTCCTACATTTTATGTATATATATATTAAAAAATGTAAATTATACTGGGCAGCAAAATGTCGGATGGCCAAATGACCAACGACTTTGGCATAAGAAAAAAAACAAAAAAAAATAATCTTCGGATATTCATAGAACCATATTTATACCGTGAGCATTTGTACAGTGAAACACACAAATTGTTTGATCTTCCGTCCCACAATTTACCTATCGTCGTACTTTTCGGCATATATCCATCTTCAGCATGTCTGTTGATTCAAAACCACCATTTTGTATACCTAATCTAATTTTTGATAGCAATACAAATTTCCTTTATCTAATCTATTTTACTTGTCAGAATACAACGATCACTGTATAAAATACATCTTTAATAAAATTTAATTAATAAAATTAAACACTTCAATCATTAAAATTCCATCTAATACACGTAATAACCCATAAGCACTGTCTACTCCCGATTTTATCTTAAACTACACGGACATCACATCGTACTTATCAACGGCATGGCCACAGCTGATATGCCCATCAGGAGATGACTGAAGTGGAGCTGGATGAGAAATCTCCTTTCCTGAATTATGGAAGTAAACCAAGACCATGAAGAGGTGCTGCTGGTTACTATTCTTCTTCATGTCTAGAACATCAACATTCTCAACAATAACATCATGGCTGATTATTGCCCAGATGTGCCTATAAAAATATTAAGAGAAAAAATATATTAAAACTTAATTATAACAACGATTAATACATAGTCCATATGGACATCTCTAAGTGAATACCTCTGTCCTCCCAACAATTACTAATTTTGTTAACGGAAGATGTAGAAATAGAAATAGAAGAGAAAGGAATGTAGTTATATTTGTTAAATCATACTAATTCTCTAAGCTATTTGAAACTATCTTAAACGAATTTTTTAATTACAATATTATTTCTTTGTTAATTCTTTTTTTTATTATTTTGAGCTATTTTACGAAAAAATAAATCTATAAAAATAAAAATAAATAAAAATTATGATATATCACTTTTCTGGCTCTCAAGAGTGACAAAGTGGTTTTGACAAAGGAGGTGTCAAAGGAAAGGAAATTTAATGGAAACAAGACGATTAAATTCGCGTACTACAACTTTAATAAAAGTCACTTACTCTTGCCTTGCTAAGAATATGAAAGCCGGAAACTTCCTGGATTTTGTGTTTTGGAAAATATATAGCCAATTAATTTAAATTTTACACATATTCAATTCTATTATTTTGAATGAAAATTAATCCCCACAGTGGCCAAATTGTAAAACTGTAATAATATGAACACCTTTTTTTTTTAAATGTTAGCCAATTTAATTATCCTTAAAATCGCAATAAAACGCTTGGAATTAAACTCTGTAAAATTTTAAATAAAAATAAAAAAAATTAAAATATATTGGATCAACAGATTATTTTTGTTCGATTAATTATGTTTATTCATCCTTTATCACCACCGCTTTAGATTTTGTATTTTGTTACATATATGAATATATTACAAAAAAAAACATTAATATAAAATAATACATATAAAATATATATATTAGAAATAAGAGTAGCAAATAAAACTATTTTTCTGACAATTTAAGTAAAGGTAATTGTGGAAGATAGGTTGGAGGTGAGCTAAGTGTAACCGAGATCAGCTGATTAATGAAGTGCCTTTGACGGGTTTCATCACATAGGTGTGGGCTCAACAAGATGATCGATATCTCCCCCTTCCAAGGTCTGGGTCAGGGAAATTACTTAAGAAGAATGGATGTTGTATTTTCATGGAAAAGGAACTGCCAGCTAACCAGCTCTGAGAAATATTATGGCCAAACATTTACTCCACAAAAGTTTATTCAGGATATTTATGCAATGGTATTTATGTCAGTTTCTGAGGACCGGAAGAGTCGAGGTAAGATCTCAGATATTTAAAAACGTTCACCTTCGTACATTTCTCAGAGTTAAAATGAAGATCACCGTCATTTCCAGAACATATAGTATGGTTATCGTTTATTGTCGATAAAAGGTTCTACATCTCCACACAGTTTATAAGTGTCACAAAGCCCGTCCGGTGATCGTCAGGTATCGCATATCCTTTCAATATCTGCCTAATCGTATTGAGAATTACGCTCATCATCTTATCACTCGCATACTTCAGCAGTTCCTCCAAACTCCCACCTGGTCCAGGGGCCTTTCTGTTTTAGAGCTTTTCAGAGCCTGAATCAATGCTTCCTTGGTACCCTCTACTCCAGCATCCGGCGTTCTGACAGCTCTCTCTTCCGCTATAAACTGGGTGAGGCTCTCTCCAAGGAGATCTTCAAAGTGTGTCTTCCACTCTTCTTCGCTGATTGATCAGAGAACATTTCCTTTTCTAGGTGCCTGCAGTTTTTTTAGAATACTCCAGGATTCTTTGAATCTGTTATGTCCCAGGGTGCTATCTATGCTTCGGCAGCACCTTTCCCATGACGCATTTTTCTCGCGTACCACAAGGCTCTTAACCTTCTTATTTAATCTTGCATAGACAACCCAATATTCGTTAGTTTTTGAGGAGAGGTATCTGTGTTATGCCATTTTCTTCTGTTCTATACACTTTGTCATCCAACCCGACCACCAGTGCGGTTTAGGACATCCTTCCTTCAAACCGAGGGCCTCAACTCCCATTAAATCCAGCCTATAAGTGAGGAACGGTTTCTGCTTCTGTCGTTATTTCACCTTTAAATTTATTCCTCTCCACGATCCAAGGAAGGTAAATCTTGGCACGTAATATATGGTTACGTAACATATGGCTATAAAAATGGCTGGGACATTTTAAAATTATTAATATTAATAAGTATGTATAATAATAGTTGCTATTAAGATGGTTTCTTATCAATTTCCATCCACAAAATCCACACTAATCGATTTCCGGCTCGCAGGAGCGATGGATTTTAATGGATGAGGTATCAAACTTATAAAAAATTAATGGAGGTCCGATGAGTCTCAATTTAAAAACTTAGTACTTAATTCAACCCGAAATAAAATTCACTACAAAACTAGGAGATTTCAAAAATCAGGTAGAATAAAAGTCGACGAATCGAGAAGGTATAAATTTTGTTTTGAATATTCTGAAGCGGTGTTCGAAATCCAGTGTAGTTTTAAAATAACTGTATTGAGTCCCGCATTTTAAAGCCCAAAAATGTACTGTTATTGGAATAAACAATAATTATTACAGAAAATCTTATAACGTGTTCAAGTATTAAAATTTGTTTGTATAACTAAAAAATCTATTGAAAAGGTAAATAAAGAAGAATAACTTTGTAATTCTTTGTGCACTTCGAATAATGAAGAGACTCTTTCAATGTTTACTATATAAAAAAAAATCCAGGAATGTATTTTATACTCTGTTCTTCTGTAGATTTCAGCAGTATCTGGTGTTAATTTTTTATGGCTGGTCCTGTTGAGGCATGGATAACTACCAGAGCAGATTTTGTTTAGTTGTGTACACAATAACTGGAAATTTTGATATTTTTTACAAATATCTGAGGAGTTCCCTGGGTATAAATGCAGACTCCATTACTTCTCTGTCATTCTGAAGCATTGAACAAGTTAGGAGTAAAAAAAGTGATTCTTCAACCATGTTTTGGGAAGATATATCTGGTTGAGGCTGTGATTCAGGATCTGAAGTGCTTCTCGTAGGCAGCGACGAGTTCTTTGTAGGATACGAGTGATAATAACCCATATCATAATAGAAGAAAAGAAAAGGAAAAAAAAAGATATCAAATAGTAAATATCAACTGCTCTGATGTGCACTTGAACTGTATTCAGTGAATAATCATAGAGATTCCGCTGAAAAAAAAGCAAAAACTGAGAGACGAGTTGAGAACACAACCTTCGCATCAGCTGACCCACTGCCTTCTTAATAGCGAAGTTAAATGCAAGAAAAATCGTTTATGCTCGCACGCTAAGCCATCCATCCTAATTACTAATAATGGATTAACAATCGACTCTTCCTAAAGTCGATTCAATAGGCGTTCGACTGACTAATCGATGTTGAATTTTAACGCCCTATCCAGTTGGGAGTCCCCGTAACGACTTGGCTTTTGAATAATATATCAAGGCGAGGTGTTAAGTGCTCACCCTATGAAGGCGTTAATATTGGATTGCTGGTTCTGTTTACCGCCTCTTTGAGGAACATGATGGCTTTTCCTTCGTAATTGACAGTAACTGGTTATCGATAAGTGTCACCAATTGTATCCCAATCTATAGTCAACTTTATCGGTAGATGAGATCATTAGTTAGCGAGTTTATTTTACCTACCAGTTACTACACACAATTTAACAATATATACTTTAACATAGTCTCCTTTTCTCATAAAATAAAACAAATTTTTAAAAACATCGGTCTAATTTTTTTTTTTTTTTGTTTCCTAAAACTAATTTTATTTTTTTAATATTTTCATTCACTCAACTCTAATTCATTAATTTTCAAATTGTATATATCGTAACATCTCGATAATCAATGGATCATACAAAAACAATGCACTCGAAACCTCTTTTAAATACACCATCAATAGATGATGTGGAAAAAGAAAACTACCAGAAAATGGTTTTCAAGACCTCTCGGTAGTAGAAGATGTTTATTGTTGTTTTTCCAGAAATGCATGAGTCTAACAAGATTTGAACCAAAACTCTTTCAGTCCTCTTACTTTTTCTAAGAACTTTTGAAATTCATTTTGTCAAATTTGGACTATCAAATAGGAATATTAAAAAGAAAACAATTATAATTTCTTGACAATGGTTCTTCTCGCTCAAGCCTAAAGTTAATTTTTTTTTTTTTTATCTACTCAAACAACTTCTAGCGTCAGCCATTGTATGAAGGGTATCATTAACAATTGAATCGTTTATTATCGGGAAAAAAAACTTTTGAATTACTTGATTAAAGAAATAGATTCACGTGAAACTTTTTCGGTTTTTAATAAAATCCATCTCACTATTTGATGCACATTTTTAAATCAGTCCATAAATGAAAGATATTAAGTTCGCAAGTCTTTAATAAAATCTTGATTTAAAAAGCCAAATGAAGATGAAATTCGAGACAAATAAGAAGAATTATTGGTACTTGAAAGATTAGGTATATGAAATTCTACCTTAAAATTTTTGGACTAGATAAGGACTATAGAACAAGACGGGATATAGAAACAGTTTGTTAATATTTTTTCAACGGTATCAATAGAACACCAATATAGCATATTGTCTTAGATGATGGTTACAGATTTCATGAATAAAGTAAATTAAAAAAAAAATCACTTACTTACTGTAGTAAGTGTTTAATATATTGAAAATTGTAATAAACAAGAAAATGAAAAAAAAAAAAAAATAGTAAGTCGTTTATTTGACAACCTCAATACTTTCCAGAGAAACTTTTAAGAACAAGAAAATACATATCATATATAACATTACACATATTGTTTGGAAAATGCATTAAAAATTTATTACTTATTGCAAATTTGCCTCGTTTAAGTGCTACAGGTTGAATGCTAGATTAATTTCATA